AACTCATGGACAGATGGCTCACACAGCATCAGCAGCTCCACCTAATTTACCCAAGAGTCCAAAAGAACTCAGCCCCATGGATATCTCAACTGCAATAAAGCCCCCCTGAGACCGTGCATGGGCACTCCACAAATCAGGCCTGATGCCATACCCCCCCCTCCCTCGACAATAGGAGTGCCACTGTTTAAAGTACACCAGTACTCCATAACCTTTTTTTTTTTTCCGGTCCTCTTCTTTATTTTCTTTTCGAGAAAGAAAGGCGACGGCCTTGAGATATCATCTTTGAACTGACCGGCCCCAGGTAAACTCTGAGTTGTTTTCACTCGTCTGATTCCACTGGACGAGTGAAAACACCAAACTCAGGTTTGTGTGTCTAACAGTTCATGGGTGTAGTGTACCAACAGCTGAGCTACGGTAGTTGGTACGCAACTTTTTTTTTTCCATATCAACACACGACAAAAGTAATCAACGACCAAGATGGTGCCACTTATCAATTCAGAATTTTGTGGCGATCGGGAGAACCAGGCAGCTGAATCTTAGGATAGAGACTCAGGGAGTACGTACACACACTAGGACTTTCTTTTTCTGAACGTATCTGACTGCAATTACGGTCGTACCTGGATGAATCTGGTTGCCATCATGTCCAGAGCGTAATACAAAACGTTCTAGTGTGAGTATCCCCTGATTCTTTCTGTCTTTGCCCTCCCAACCACATATACACGACCAGACTTTGATGCCTTGCCCTCTCAGTCACACATAAACACTCCTCTAATCACTCACTCACTAATGTCGCCTTCGCCTTTGTGAACTCTCAGTTGCCTTCCTCCTGGCCAGTCCACGAAGGCGACAATCACACTGGCAGAATCACATTAAGTATCACACAAACGAAAACTCCGGGACGTCTGCGAGAGCCAGAAAGTCTGACAATGACGAAGATACTGACCTCAGCTTTGGTGGGTATAATCGAGATATCCAAGTCACAAAGAGCTCCCAACACATAACTTCTGGCACCACTCGCCTGTATTATCTGCATACTTCACTTCGCAAACACACACACACACACACACACACACACACACACACACACACACACACACACACACACGCACGCACACACACACACGCACACACGTCAGGAGGATCAATGCAGCACAGGTAGGGACTGTACTAGAAGTCATGCCAAGTGGATATGCTAGCTAAGTGGGTGTATAGAGTGGGTTCTATGGCTGTGACATACTAGTATACTAGTGTCTCAGACTTACTAGAATTCATGCCATTCTTGTCAGGGCCTTGGATGCACAGTCTGCTAAGATTGCAGGGTTGGTGTGAAGAGTAAAGTCGACCACGTTTTTCAGGGGTATACCACAAACTCTGCGTGATGAGGTGAGTCCTTATTCATCAGTCAAATGCATCCTAGGCAAACTGTCGGGGTCCAACCTCCTGATGAGTCGGTGAAAGTCCAACGAGACAGACAGTCTGGCACAGTCATATGCTGTTTTTCTGGAGTTGTTTGTCCATAGCAAACACGACAACAAACACACACATTCAGCATTCGCAAAATGTGCACATTGAGCTAAATTACGAAAGAAAAAGAAAAGGGGATAACTGTTCGACGTACGAGTCAGAGAGAGAGAGAGAGATTGGACAAGCTCGGGTGCTGACGTCGGTCCTACGGCGAAGTGTGTGAAAAGAGCACATGCATGGCATGGAAGACTCGATCAAATGTAGGGCTCAGAGAAATACATGCTCAACACACTCAGAAGACAATGGACAGTGAGAAAATCCCACGCCAGCAGGGAGGTGGAACACATAAAAGAGGCTTCTCCGCACAACCATGCACAGAAAGAGGGAGGAGGAAAAAGAAGAAGGTGAGGTGAGGTGAGGAATAAGAAAAATAAATCAAGATATCGCAACGCCAAGCAATCACCTCTTCCTCTCAATCGCCTCCAGCAATAATAGACCTCAATTCTGGGCGCAAAGTTTTCCAAAAATCAAACCATAGCCAAACTCTCTCTCTCTCTCTCTCTCTCTCTCTCTCTCTCTCTCTCTCTCTCTCTCTCTCTCTCTCTCTCTCTCTCTCTCTCNCTCTCTCTCTCTCTCTCTCTCTCTCTCTCTCTCTCTCTCTCTCTCTCTCTCTCTCTGTGTGTGTGTGTGTGTGTCTGTGTGTGTGTGTGTCTGTGCGCGCGCGCGCACGCGCTCGTTCGACCTTGGCGAATGTTTTGGCCTCTCTCTCTCTCTCTCTCTCTCTCTCTCTCTCTCTCTCTCTCTCTCTCTCTCTCTCTCTCTCTCTCTCTGCGTAACCATCTAAAAAAAAGAAAAGACATAATTTGTGGGAGGCACACACACACACACACTCATGCACCATCTCACCCCCTTGCCCCAGCCCTCCTCCCCGATTGCGCCCACCCTCCTCCCCGACTGCGCCCACCCCTTCCGGACTGCGCTCACCCTCCTCCGCAATTCCTCCCCCGGACACCGCGCCCACCGTACTCCCCGACTGCCCCGCCCCTACCAAGCCCTCTTCTCCGACTGCGCCGACCCTCCTCCCGACCTTCCTGCCCCATTGCGCCGACCCCTCTCCCGACTGCCCCGACCATCCGGTCCCACTGACGTTATGAATTCTGGTCGTCCATTCGAGGGAGTTGTCACTCTGTGGGTACGCATTTGCGATGTGAGAGAGAAAGCCCGTTGCAGCTGATGACTTGCATTAACCCGCCCCCGCCCACGCCCTCCTCCCCCCTCCCCAACGGGAAGTTGTACCTCAAGGTCGCGCCCATATCATGAAGACAGGGGGGAGGACGGGGAAGTAGGAGATGCAGGGGAAGTAGCTGAGAGGCAGGAGAACAGAAGACGCGAACGAACGATGGGAACTAATGAAAGGAAGGAGGAGGGAGAAGACAGGAGTACAGAAAGAAGACGAGAAGCAGAGGAGCAGGGAGACAAGAGAAAGGAGCAAGGGGAAGGGGCGGGAGGCCAATGTAACGTGGGGAAGGTCTTACCTGGCCACGCCGAGCTTGCCGATGCAGGGCCCTTCCTATGTCCTATGTGTGGTGCCCTGTGTGAGGTCGATAAGCTGCCAGTCGAACAGTGCAGGTAAGGGCATCCCGAGTCCCCTGTTCTGTGACCTCGGGACGGCAGGTACGATTTGCCCGCCCCCGCTTGCTCTCGGCCTAGCAGCATCTATAAAAGTCCTACTTATTTGCACACTGACTTTTCCGACGGACCGAATCTGGACTTGAATAGTGCTATTGATCGTTCACGGCAATCTCGATGTGACTAGGAATCTGGACTAGAGTCCCTAGCGTTATCGAAACGCTTACGGTAATCCCAACATGAGTAGCCCCAGAAGTGTAGCGCTCATCCACGGTCCCGCAAGTGAAGTGTTGTTTCCCACCTCTGGACCACGTGGGCCGGGGCCAGGTCCCACTACTGGGGGTTTTGTTTAGAACAATACTGGCGTGGCCGGGGAAGGAACGCAGCCCGATGAAGCCCTGCCCTACCCGGCGTACTCGCTGTCCGGAGACGGCAGCGAGGGTGGGATTCGGGGTGTGGGGCGGAACGATGGTTTCCTCGATAATCTCTAGGTTCGGCCATCGCCCTCAGCTCCGACAAGGGGCTGTGTCTCCCTGTGGAATACCAGGGAGCAGGGCGATTCCATTCCAACTCGTACAACAGACATCCTACAACAGAATCTATAAGAGTCAAGTAACGAGTGCAGTGTGAACACGACGAAGGGAGAGTGAGTCCAGTACGGTACCTGTCTCTTATACACATCTAGATGTGTATAAGAGACAGGTGTAATTCATATCATAACCACCTTTATGACTCTCTCTCTCTCTCTCTCTCTCTCTCTCTCTCTCTCTCTCTCTCTCTCTCTCTCTCTCTCTCTCTCTCTCTTCTTGTGTGTGTGTGTGTGAACCCTCCCGTTCTGATCTCGTGCCGTATTGCTTGCTGTCCCCATTTCACCGGGAATCACGACAATTCCAAGGCCCTCCTCCCTCCGTCCCTGCCTCCTCCCTCCTCTCTCTCTCGGTCTCTTCTCTCTCCATCCTCCTTCCTCCTCTCTACTCCCGTCGCGCTCCACGTGGCAGTGTGTCACACGATTTCTTCCACTTCCCTCCTCCTCCTCCTCTCGTCCTCGTCATCCACCTCCCTCCTCCTCTCCCCTCATCGTCCTCCCTCCTTTCTCCTCCTCTTCCCTCCTCCATTCTTTCGCCTCCCGTCTTGTGCCACGTAGCACACCGGCACGGGGTTTCTTTTGAATATTGTTCTCGTCCTTATAATCATCCTGTCTCCTGCTCATCGTCCTCCCTCCTCCTCACTCCTTCCCCTCCTCCACCTTCTTCCCTCCTCCTCCCTCCTCTCTTCTCCCGTCCCGTGCCATGCGGCACAGCGGGACTCGATTTCCTTTTCATCTTCGTCTTGTCCTCGTCATCCTCCTCCCTCCTCCTCTCCCCTCCTCTTCCTCCTTCCTCCTTCCTCCTCCTACCTCCTCCCTCCTCCTGGTACCTCCTCTTCCTTCTTCCTCCTCGTACCTCCTCCCTCCCTCCTCTCCCCTCCTCTTCCTCCTTCCTCCGCCTACCTCCTCTTTCTCCTTTTCCTCCTTCCTCAGCCTACCTCCTCTTTCTCCTCTCGTCGTGCCACGTGGCACACCGCCACGGGACCTTTTATTTTCTCCTCGTCCTCGTCCTCCTTCCTCCTCTCCCTCCTTTCGCATCCCTCCCTCCTCCCTCCTCCCTCCTTTCGCCTCCCGTCACGTGTGCCACGCGGCACACCAGCGCTTTTTTCTTTTTCATCTCCTCGTTCTCATCATATTGCCTCCCCCCTCCTACTCATCCTCCTCCTCCCTCCTCCTCCCTCCTCCTCTCCACGCATCTGTTGAAATACAGACCCAACCGACACGACGTGTAGCTCAGTCGTTACACCCATGAACTGCTGAAATGCAGACGTGAGTTCAAATCCACAGAGGTGGAGGTGGAATGAAGGAAATCTTCAAATCTTAAATTACGTAATTACCAGGGGCTGGTCAGTTCGACAATGATATCCCAAGGCCGTCGTCCTTCACGGAAAAAAAATCAAACGAAAACAGACCCAAGTTCGGGCCCAGATACCCAAAAAAAAGGGGAACACACCAAGCAACACGATTCGCCTCCCTCCCTCCCTCCCTCCCTCATTCGCTCCCTCCCACCTCCCTTCTCCTCCTCTTTTTGTCTCTCTCTCTCCTCCTTCCTTCGCCCTCCTTCATCCTCTGTGGCACGCAATTATTCGTTTTCATCTCGTGATTCTTCTCGCCCCCTCCCCCCTTCTACTCCCCCCTCCTCCTCCTCCTCCTCCTCCTCCTCCTCCTCCTCCTTCCTCCTCTCATCGTGTCGTGGCTCGGCAATTTTTTTTCTTGTCCTCGTCATCCACCTCCCTCGTCCTCCTCCTCCTCCTTCCTCCTCCTCTCCCCTGGCCCTCCTCCCTGCTCCTTTCTCCCCCTCTCTCCTCATTTCCCCTCCCATCACGTGCCACGTGCCACACCAGCACGCGGTTTTCCTTTGTTATTTTTTTCTCTCGTCCTGATCATCCTCCTCCCTCCTGCTCATCCCCCTCCTTCCTTCTCGTCTCCACTCCTCCTCACCGATCCTCCTTCCTCTTTTTTCTTCATCCTCCTCCTCCTCATCCTCCTCCTCCACATTCTTCCTCCTCCTCCTCCTCCTCCACATTCTTCCTCCCTCCCTCCTCCTTCCGGCCCGGGTTCCGAGGCACACCGGCAATCGATTCTCTTTCCATCTTATTAGTCTTGTCCTCGTCATCCATCCCCCTCCCTCATCATCTCCCCTCTCGCACACCTCCTCCCTTTGTCGGCAGAACTCACAGCAATCGCGTCAGGAGTTCAAATCTCTTCCCTCCGCCAAGGAGGGAAGAAAGGACAGCTCACGAGAAAGAAAAAGATCAAAAAAAAGATTAAAAAAAAAAAAAAATCTAAGGAACGATGCCGACCTGGAGGGTTCCATCCCGACCGAAGAACAAGTGGGTGAACCCCATGAACGGGAGGGCATGGGCATCCAAATATCCGTACGACCAGCTCCGTCCCTCCTTGGTCCCCCCCGCTTGCCCAACGCCGGAGCTCTCGACCGTAGTAGCGCCGGCATTGCTGCAATGGGCCAGGGTGGGCCAGAGTCCCCTTACCTTCCGGATCACGGCTGAGTGGTCCCCCCCACGGTTCCCGTAGTCTGTTATGGGCCTCGCTCCACTACTCACCAAATGTGCAAAATGAGCATGAATCTTCCCGCTAGAAAAACATGGAATATACCTTTCTCGGCCTTTTTTGGCTAAGATCAAGTGTAGTATCTGTTCTGATCAGTTTAATATCTGATCCGTGGTCCATCGGGCCACATTTAAAAAAAAAAAAAAAAAAAAACCATGGAAAGATGCACCGCCACATTGTTTGGACGTTTGTTGTTCTTGTGGTGAGAAGTGGAGCTAGGCCCATGATGTCTTTTCCGTGCCACTGACTGTTTCCTCCGTCTTCGCACGGCTCATGGGTCCGACTGCCCCACCTCTGTGGCCCGTCGGAGCACGTCAGACATGCAAACGAATTTTCCCGCCTTTTTTCTGGCCGATTATCCGAAAAAAAGGCGGGAAGAGGAAGGAGGTAGGAGGACGGAAGAGGTCAGAGGTAGGAATCTTCCTCTGAGCTCTTCCGTCCTCCAACCTCCTTCTCCTCTTCCCGTCGTGCCACGTGGCCCACCGGCACGAGATTTCTTTTTCCTTTTCTTGTCGTCCTCGTCATCCACCTCCCTCCTCCTCCTCCTCCTAGTCTTCCCTCGTCCTCTCTCCCTCCTTTCTCAATCCTTCCTCCTGCTCCTCCTCCCCCCTCCCTCCTTTCGTCTCCCGTCATGTGCCACGTGGCACATCAGCACGCGGTTTTTGTTCTGTTATTGTACTCGTCCTCATCATCATCCTCCCTCCTCCTCAACCTCCCCCCCCCTTCTCGTCTCCATCAATCCTCCTCCGTTCTCCTCCCTCCTCCTTCCTCCTCCCTCCTCCTTCCTCCTTCCTCTTCCTCCTTCCTCCTCCTTCCTCCTCCTCCACCGTACTCCTGATCTGCTCCAGTCGTGTGCCACGTGGCACACCGGCAGATGTCGCCCAAGAAGTGGAATTGCATAATGGATGTCAGAACCCAAAGCGAAGCGGAAAAGACAAAAAGGAACTAGATTACCTGTTGCGGTTCCGCCCGCAAACAAGAAGGACAATTTTGCAAATGAAAGAAGAGAGCTCATCAAGAGGTTGAATCACGACAGTCTGTCCAGGATGAATTTGATTGATGGATAAGGACTCAGCACGTCACCCGCGGCTAGGGATACCCTCGAGAGGAGTGGTTGACTTTACTCACCACCAATCCTCTGTGTGTGTGATTGTCTCTGTGTGTGTGTGTGTGTGTGTGTGTGTGTGTGTGTGTGTGTGTGTGTGTGTAAGTCTCATTTCAGTCGATCGAGACGGTATGATTGAAAGTCGCTCGGGGGTAGTTGTAGGGAGTTGCCTTCAATTATACTAGTGACATTGTTGCTAAGCAGGTCCTGTCACGTATGAACGGAGCATTCAACATCCAATCTGATTGGCATTTGCTGCTCGCTACAGAGCATTCGAGCAGCCCTTCCCTCCGAGCATTCCTAGAAGGCATGAGGCAAAGACGACCACGCGGTACGTGTCTGCATCGGCTCGTGGACAGCGTGCCAATCTCTCTCTCTCTCTCTCTCTCTCTCTCTCTCTCTCTCTCTCTCTCTCTCTCTCTCTCTCTCTCTCTCTCTCTCTCTCTCTCTNCTCTCTCTCTCTCTCTCTCTCTCTCTCTCTCTCTCTCTCTCTCTCTCTCTCTCTCTGTGTGTGTGTGTGTGTGTCTGTGTGTGTGTGTGTCTGTGCGCGCGCGCGCACGCGCTCGTTCGACCTTGGCGAATGTTTTGGCCTCTCTCTCTCTCTCTCTCTCTCTCTCTCTCTCTCTCTCTCTCTCTCTCTCTCTCTCTCTCTCTCTCTCTGCGTAACCATCTAAAAAAAAGAAAAGACATAATTTGTGGGAGGCACACACACACACACACTCATGCACCATCTCACCCCCTTGCCCCAGCCCTCCTCCCCGATTGCGCCCACCCTCCTCCCCGACTGCGCCCACCCCTTCCGGACTGCGCTCACCCTCCTCCGCAATTCCTCCCCCGGACACCGCGCCCACCGTACTCCCCGACTGCCCCGCCCCTACCAAGCCCTCTTCTCCGACTGCGCCGACCC